ACACGACATTAGACGCTTTGTTGGTGTCCTGTAATACGTTAATTCTTTCGGTATGTTCGTTAATTTTGTCTTGTAACGCGGAGTTCATGTTGGTCCGTCTATTGTTGTTCTGGATGAGGAAGTCTTCTTTTGATGACAGTAGCTCGAAATCAGCGTGGTCTGGAGTTCCTGCAATTGACTTTGACTTTTCGCTGAGCCAATAAAATCAAGAGCTCGCGCGTGCCGTCTGTTTATGCGGAGTGTTTGAAGCAGTCTATGAATTTGTTTGTTTTGCTGTGCTCAAATAGTTCCTCATTTTCATTAATTATGCGTTCGTAATCCGTCAGATTCGTTCTGTGTATCATGTATGAGTAGCTTTCGTACGTTGCTGTGTGTCCATTCGAAATTGATATAAAGTATGCGTCCGAGTAGTTCACAATTTTTGGTGATACCGACGCTGTCAGTGACCGGAGCAATCTATAAGAGAGAAAAGTTTATCTTAAATTACTTTTATGGACGCGTTTCCCGTCGACTAAAACAGTTGTGCCAAGGTCCTGTTGTATTGTACCCTCGACGTACCACTTACCAAATTTATTCCCTAACCTTCTATTCCTCTTTACAAACACCTTTTCGCCGGGCTGAAAGGTCTGAGAGGAAGCATTCACATTACATGTTTGTAGGGTTTTATGCTGAGCTGTTTTCAACCAGTTTTTAATACCGTCAGAAATTTGTTGTGATACTGAATTTAGAACGTCTATTGGCTTTCTGTTTATTACAGAATGTACGGAAATATAGTATTTTAGTGTTGATAAAAGTATGAGTTATATCATGACGTCTATGTGCTGTTGAGCCTTAACACACCTAGCAATTTCCATCAGTGTTGAATGGAATCGTTCTACCTGGTCGTTGCTTTCGCTATGCATAGGTGGAACGAAAACTGCTCAGCGCCACAGTGATCCCTTAAGAAGGTACTGATTAAATTCGACTGAAAAGATCTTTCGTTGTCAGACACCACTAACTTCACATCTTTGAATCTGCTAACGACTTGTAGTAGGGCTGTTTTTACATCCACGCTATTTCTTGAAGCAATGGGAATTGTTATGGCGAATTTCGAAAACTTGTCTATGCAAGTTAAAAAATGTGATTTATTAGTAATCAATATGTCCATGTGTAAGATTTGACCGGGATAATCTGGTATTGGTGTTGGGGCTACTTCCACCTTAGCTGGTCTACGTTGGTACTTGTTCTCCCTACATATCTTGCAATTTGCGATTATGATTTTTAGTCTCTTCTTTATGCCGGGGAAATAGTATTCGAAAATTTCTTGCATCGATCTGTGGGTTCGATTGTGTTCGGTGGTTATTATGTTAATTTGATTTTCTTCCCTTATAACATCGATAACAATTTTCTCCGTATGAACGAACTTTGTTGATGGCAAATTTAAGGCTATGACATCCTGAACTTCCGCTAGAGTGTGGAGGTCGCATAAGATAGCATTTGTTCGTGTTGGCTGTACAACATCCCTTAAGATTTCTAATAAACTGTCAATATTGTCGTAGTTGATCGTATGGCGTAGTAGACGTTGAAACATAATTTTTGTGTGTTTTGGAACACGACACGTGCTTTGATATTAATAATTGATTTTTAAACTGGTTTACAGGGTACCTTATTGTCCTTATAGTGTTTGTCAGAGACTCCTCACTATGGACCGTGTCATCGTCCGAGTGGTTATTAATATATTGCCTTGAGAGAGCGTCTGCCACAACGTTTTCTTTACCTGGTTTATAAAAGAATTTTGGGGAGAATTCCTCAATAAAGGCGCACCATCTTTTCATTTTTGAATTGGGATTCTTTTCCGACATGGCGAACGTAAGTGGTTGGTGATCAGTGAAGATGCGAATTTCGGAAACTCCATAAAGGTAATGTCGGAGTTCCTTTAGTGCCCACATAATGGTAAGCATTTCCCTTTCGTTAGTGGCATAGCCACATTCAGTTCTCGACAATACTCTCGATATCATGGTTATGGGTCGTCCATCTTGTGATAGCACCGCCCCTTAAGCGACGGCTAATGCATCTGTTGTCAGTTCAAACGTCTTGTTGTAATCTGGATATGACAGCATTACATCTTCCGACGATAGAATTTTTCGAAGTCTGTAAAATGATGCCGCGCTTCTTGGTCAAATTCGATCTTAACATTTTTTGATTTTCTCGCCGATACTTGGCCATTATCATCTTGCAGAAATTTCGTTAAGGGTCTGGCTATTTTCGAGTAATCTTTAATATACTGCCTATAGAATCCTGATAGTCCTAGAAATGATCTAAGGCTTTTAAGGCTTTTTGGTTCTTTAAATTGTTCAATGTCCCTAACTTTATGTGGGCAGGTTCTAATACCGTCAATGGTCACAATGAACCCTAAGAACTCAACCTGAGTTCTAAAAAATTTGCATTTTTCCAGCAATATTCTCATACCGGCCTCTGTGATCTTTTTTAAAATGTTGTTGATATGTTTCAGGTGGCTATTCTCATCGGGGGAGAAGATTATGATATCGTCCATGTAAACTTGACATGATTTGCCTATATCTTCCCTCAATATGTCATCAATAGTTCTTTGAAAAATGCTCGGTGCATTTTTTAGTCCGAAAGGCAACAGACAAAATTCATATTTACCATTGTTCACACTGAAAGCAGTTTTCTTTCTGTCGTTTTCAGCCAGAAGGATTTGATGGTACCCAGATTTCAGATCGAGTGTAGTGAAATGCCTTGTCTTTCCCAGGTTTGACAAAATCACTGGAACCTTTGGTATGGGATATTTGTCGTCCGTAGTGTGATCATTTAATTTCTTGAAATCAATAACCATTCTGTGTTTTGGGTTACCGTATTCAACGGTACCTTTTTTTCAAAAAACAAGCACAGGCGCGTTGTAAGGGGAGAAGGATTTCCTTATAATCCCGTCTATGAGTAGTGACTTTATTTCATTATTTACAAAGTCTGACATTTGTACAGGATACGGGTATGATTTCGAGTAGATTGGGTCAGCGTAGCCTATTATCCCATCAATTTTTTTCAGAGATGGAAGAATAAAAATAGTTGTGGTATATCCGCAAACGACGACACCACACTTTTCGGTTATTATGTTGGTGCAATTTACCGAATTTACATTAAAGGTGTTTTTAAGTGGCACTACACCGACTAGGCTTCTTATTGGTTTAATGAAATGTTTTGATGTTCTTGTATCGATTAGGAACTTCAACTCCCTACTCCCTATAGACTTTTTTATAAATGGGAGTTGGGGCTTTAGCCTAAAAAATTTAATTCTTCAGCAGCAAACTCATCCTCTTCTTCGTAGTCGGTTGGAGCGATTATAGATCCAACATCTCTTTATTTTCATATATTTTGTCGTCATCTACCTGTAGATCATCAGCGATATGGTTGACTCTTTGTGCTTTCTGTACGGGAGTGCTTCTCCCAGAGAACGGAAATTCTCTCTTCAAATTTTGCTTTTGGCTGCGATGGTTGTTATTTTGTTGTTGATTGTTGTACGCTGTATGACGTCTGAACATGGAGGAACCCGGGTCGACAACCATTGGGATTGGTTGGTTTGACTGCGTTCGACCATTGTTATTTGGCAAATTCTTATTTCTTAGAAACGTTGGGTGTGAACTTTGTAGTGGTGTGCTGCTGGGCTGTTGTGGTCGAGGCTTGTCGCCCATCGCAAAGATTCGGGCGAACTTTTGTCTCTTTGGTCAGATTCTAATTCCTGGGCGGTAGGCAATGCAGTGGGTAGATGCTAGGTTTAGCGGAGAACAAAATATCGCTTAATGGGCGTTTAATTTAATTATCCCTCGCTCGCTCGTTGAGAGCACTTGAAACATCTTCATTATTAGGATAACTCATCTTGTTCTTGTTTATGATAAGCGTCAAGTGTTGATCCACTAGATCGTAAAAGTCAGATATTGACTTCCCACCCTGCCTTAAGATGCTCAGCTTGTTTTCGAGCACTTTTAGTTACCGTTTGTCACCGAAACACTGGTCTAGCCTAGCTATGATGGCCTAAAATTTAGTACCGTGTTGAAAGAAGAAAGTTTGTCATTGACAGCCCCTGTGATTTTGTTTCTTAAAATGCCAGTCGCAATATAGTTATTTTCCTTATTCTCTAGGTAATAACTCATCGCAAAATGAGCAGCTTCCCTCCAGGCAGGGTATGCTTTAATGTCACCTTTAAATTCGGATACGGATTTAATCAGATCTAAAGATGTGCCCCTGTAGTTGCCTAATGCAACAGGTTGATAAACTTCGACCTTAGGTGGTCTAAGCCCTTGTATTTGTTCGCTTACCCCCCTTAGTTGGTTCTGCCACTCCTCAGTCAATGCTTCTACCGAAGCAGACACTAGACTAACTATTTCCTCTCTCGATATCATGTTCCCCAACCCTTAATAAATCAGTCAAGAAAAAAAAAACGAACAATAAGTTCTTCTCGAAATTTAATAAGCACACTTATACTTTATGATATTCTTGCTCTTTACATTTATTGGGAAACTTCAATTTTTTTTTAATTTTTCTCAAAAAGGATTGAACGCTGTACATGCTTGGAAATTGGAAAATTGGTACTTACATAAGTAGCATCGTAAGTAGATATCTCCTAACTTAATATTTGGCTGATGTACAATGTGGACTTCTTTCTAATTGGATGTGAGTTGCTTCTTTATGTTTGATATTTGGCTGATGTACAATGTGGACTTTCTTCTAATTGGATGTGAGTTGCTTCTTTATGTTTGATATTTGGCTGATGTACAATGTGGACTTCCTTCAAATGATATGGACTTCTATGTTTGATATGGACTTTCTCTGTCAATTTTATTGTTAACTCATTGTTACCTCCCTATGCTGGGACTTTTTTTTAAGACTTTGTTATTTATTTATTTATTTCTTTTTTTTTTTTTTGAGAAAAACTTTTTTAAAAAAAAAACTTTTAACCGTTTGTTGGGCGCCAGTTATTACCCCAATGAAGTAAAATGCGAGAATTATGACCGTACTATGCGGTCGTGGAAACAATTCTGTTTATTGCAATTAATTTCATCCCTTAACAGTAACAATTTCGTACTCATGCGAGTTGCATATGTCAGCATTCTCTCATGGGTTTGGTTAGTGATACAAATAAACAACTATTTATGTTACAGCCACGAGCAGGAGGCTATGGTCTTAGACTTGCATTCTTTTAGCTACGCACAGGCAGCTTAAGTAATGCGAGAATGCATAGTAAGTATTTCACAATAAAATGATATGAGGTTAGTACTAACAGGTTGGTTAACTTAATAATAGTAGCTTGCCCGCTGTTGACTGTCCCCCCCCCCCCTTTTAAAACGGGGCGTCTCTGCACCGACTAGCTATCTGGGATGCAATTACCTTAACGTCTAGGCCCATGTGATGAATGGTATCACCATTATAGTCGCAAATGATATGAATCCTAGTCTATGCGACTGTATCTCATTCTTCAATGCCTCCAGATTATCAGTGTTCTTCGAGTAGATCTTATGAAGAAAAGGTAGTGACAGTTTTACTTCATGGCCCGTGTTATTTATGTTAAGAGTTTTTGGAGGTGAAGTTCGGTAGTTTGTTTTGCATTGAAAAATAATGTGCCATTTATGGTTATACTGGTTTCAAACGTTATGACTGCCGTTCCTTCGACCATTATGTTACCAGCGCCTGTTATGTTTGAGCTGTGGACGTTGTTTAAAAGCATTACACCATCCGTTATGGCCTGAATGTGAGGTATGTTGTCGCTTGACTCTGTTGGGCATGTTGCTGTACTGTTGTTCAATAAGCGAGATAGACAGTCGTTCGAAGTGACCTTGCAGATGTTGGCGTCCCCTGCTTTGATACAGTTGATGACTGGGGTATTGTGACCGTTGCATTGAGCTGCTTCATTTATGGATAATTTGACGACAGAGTCTTGATGTACTACTGGATATATTTTTAGATACTTGCAAAATTTAGTGATTAAAGGTACTTTAATGGTATAGAATATAATATTATTGTTTTGAAAATTGCTTATATTACTAGACTTTAGTATGTTATCTACGCTTATTGGTACACCTTCATTTTCAAGCATGTTTTTAATTTCTACATTATCTATTATTGGGTTTACAATATTTGCTTTTGCTAGCGTAATAGACAGGGCTAGTTGGTTAAAAGAAAAAAACAACATCCCCGTTTCTTGCAGTTATTAATTCGAGAAGTATTAGTTCATCCAACCACACGACATTAGACGCTTTGTTGGTGTCCTCTAATACTTTAATTCTCTCGGTAAGTACGTTAATTTTGTATTGTAATGCGGAGTTAATGTTGGTCTGTCTATTGTTGTTCTGGATGAGCAATTCTTCTTTTGATGAAAGTAGCTCGAAATCAGCGTGGTCTGGACTTCCTGCAATGACTTTGAGCGCTGAACCAATAAAATCAAGTGCTCGAGCGTGCCGTCTGTTTATGCGGAGTGTTTGAAGCAGTCTATGAATTTGTTTGTTTTGCTCCCTAACGATGTTCGTTACCCTGGGGTCAGAAAAGTGCTCAAATAGTTCCTCATTTTCATTAATTATGTATTCGTAATCCTTCAGATTCGTTCCCTGTATCGTGTATGAGTAGCTTTCGTACGTTGCTGTGTGGCCATTCGAAATTGATAGAAAGTATGCGTCCGAGTAGTTCACAATTTTTGGTGACACCGATGCTGTCAGTGACCGGAGCAATCTATAAGAGAGAAAAGTTTATCTTAAATTACTTTTATGGACGCGTTTCCCGTCGACTATAACAGTTGTGCCAAGGTACTGTTGTATTGTACCCTCGACGTACCACTTATCAAATTTATTCTCTAACCTTCTGTTCCTCTTTACAAACACCTTTTCGCCGGGCTGAAAGGTCCGAGAGGAAGCATTCGCATTACATGTTTCTAGGGTTTTATGCTGAGCTGTTTTCAACTTCTTTTTAATATCGTCAGAAATTTGTTGTAGTACTGAATTTAGAACGTCTATTGGCTTTCTGTTTGTTACAGAATGTACGGAATTATTGTACTTAAGTGTTGATAAAAGTATGAGTTATATCATGTCGTCTATGTGCTGTTGAGCCTTAACACACCTAGCAATTTCCGTCAGTGTTGAATGGAATCGTTGTACCTGGCCGTTGCTCTCGCTATGCATAGGTGGAACGAAAAACTGCTCAGCGCCACAGTGATCCCTTAAGAATATATATATATCCCTTATATATATATATATATATATATATATATATATATATATATATATATATATATATATATATATATATATATATATATATATATATATATATATATATATATATATATATATATATGTATATATATATATGCGTGATAACCGGCTAATTTTTTCCCCGGTTTATTCAATTTTGTGGAATTTTTTTAACCAATTTTTGTATATTTTTAATGATTTAAATGTTTTCTCTTCCACACTCTTGCAAACAATGGATGCGTGTCCAAAAAAAGATTAGATGACTGAACTGCGTCTTAGGCATATAAATATGTATAAGGGATTGCACACATGTTTTCACAAAATTCATTGAATATTGATACAAAGGTAAATAAACAACGTTTGTTTTGACAGTTCACTCTCCAAGGAGTTTAAAAACAGAAAAATACAAAAATGTATGTAAAATGTCATCATTTATACAAAAAGTTCAAAACATGAATGAAAATTGTTAAATGAAAGATAAAATAAATCTTTTGACGAAAAACCATGGTACAATGAAATAAAGGTAACATCATTTCATATTAGCATTCCCAGCTCTGCATTTTCTGTAATTTACCTTGTCAAATTTCAATAAATAAAAAAGAGTTCGCATCTCGGATTTTTTGTGTATACAATAGATTTATGAATATGGATTTTGACAATGAAATGTTTTCAAATGTGTAAATTTTATAAAATTGTAAGCACATGATTACATGACTTTACCTTCTTAGTTCTACCATGGGAAAAGCAATAATATCTTCTGTTATTATTAATGCTAACATCATGTGCTTTCGTACAAATTCCTATAAATGAGAAGAGAACATAGTATCAATATGGGCTTATATTAGAAAGATTAGAACTGGGGTATGGGACTTTAAATGACGGAAATACTGCCCGATGTTTTTTTTAACATTGACTACGCATCATATATTACTGATGTCAACAAAGGATTGATATACAATTTTTCTCTTATTTGATGGATTTTGTCTTGTGGAAGTAATATATAAATAGATGCATTTCAAAAACTTCTTCAAAAAACATGGGAACTTTACATGAAACTATACTCATAGTATTACATGCCAGACACTGTACATAAAATTTTAGTTCATCGCATTGGGTATGTAAAGTACAGTGCATACCATTTGAGTTGCTTTTAGAAGAGGCAATAGAGTCATGCCATAAAAAAATAAGGAGCAACCTGTTGAAACATATCACAAAATGCGGTAGAGTCGAGTCAAATAAAGATTCAATCCCCCATATGATACTACTGTCTAATCCCATTGTATATTTGAGCAGTCATGAAACATTGGCCCGAAATTATAAAACGGAAGACATAAAAACCTACATTTGTGAAGAGCTTAATTTGGATATTCCTCATTTAATTTATGATAATGAAGCTAGTTATCAGCTGGTGATGTAAGTGAGGAATAAAGTATAAATATTAATTCACATGTAATTGTTCCTTTTCTTCAATGCTACACATCTTTTGATATTCAGGGACCTATATTATGTAAGAAGTAACAAAGAATTGAATTCCATTACAAACTATGAATTGAGCAGTTAAAACAAATTCGTTCGGCCAACGGAAGTAGATCTCATAACGAACTTCAAATACCGAAATTGAAACAATTCCATTAGAAAACGTGGCTTAAATCGAGGAAATACCGAATATCGGGAGGTATCATTATATGGAGGACACACAAAAACGTAACCCAAGTGTTCCAGTATTTGGTACTCGACATTGTGAGCTAACAATATGTATTTATACCAAAATTCACCCACCTCTGCCAACTCCTTCTATTTTTGGCCACCGTTAATATGAACTCGCAAAATAGTGCGACGCTTCCAGCGAATATAGTAATAATCAGGCATTTTTACATACATATTTTACATCATTTGTTAAAAACAGTTGCTGGCATCTCTACTAATAGAAAATTTTGAATATGTACAACATTTATTTATTTGTCTTTTTTATTTTTTAAGAACTTTGTAATATTTTAATACTTACGCGAATGCAGGAGCTGTATGTATGTGTATATGCATATGAATTGTTTTTACTCTTTAAGTACATGTTTCTTTTTATAAAACCTCGATATGATTTTTTTTATTTTTTAATATAAATATTATTGTTTTGTAAAACATATGTACACATAATCATTGCATTTAATAGTACATACCTACAATATTGCTATATTCACATTGCACTTTCAATCACGTTGTTCGCTCTCAGAATTAGGCACACGAATTGTCCAGGTCATACGGCACGATTCGTAATTTATAGTAACATAATTCATTTTTTCAAAATTTTTGTTGGTTGATTTTTATAGGAATTTGTACGAAAGTACATGAAATTATCTTTAATAATAATAGAAGAAATTATTGTTTTCCCTCCAAAGATTTATTTTATCATTCATTTAACAATTTACATTCATGTTTTGAACGTTTTGTATAAATGTTGACATTTTACATACATTTTTTAAAATTTCATTAAATATTTTTATTTTAAATTTAGAAATGTCATAATTTATTTTTTCGATAAATGCTCCCATTTGTAGTTCTGAGAGTGATTTTAATGCAACAAGGAACCAAATCTTTGTTAGCTCAGAACATTTTGTATGGAGAATCAAGTAGATATCTCATAATTAGTGGTCGAATAACGAACAGAGAGCGAATCACGTACCATGTGAACGTAGCATTATACATTCCTGCGTATACACATATACATTTTTTCTGTTACTTACCTTTTTTGTTTGAGGTAATAAAAATTATTTTGCAAAACTTAAAATGCACATATTCGATTTCTTTTAATTCATTAGTATTTCCAATTATGCATGATTTCTGTAATTGAACCAACTGTTCAATTAAAAGGGGTTTCCCGGTTTATTCAATTTTGCGGGATACCCAACATTCCATCCATGTGATTTTGTTTTTCCTCAATATGTCAAATAATAATTAGGATCCAGAAATAATTAAATGTTTTCTCTTCCACTCTCTTGCAGCAAATGGATGCAATCCAAAAAAAAAAAAAGATTCGATGACTGAACTGCGTCTTAGGCATATAAGTAAGTATGTAAAAGGGATTGCACACATGTTTTCAAAAAATTCATTGAATATTGAAACAAATATAAATAAACAATATTCTCTTCCACTCTCTTGCAAAAAAGGGATGCAAGTCCAAAAAAAGATTTAATGACTGAGCAGCGTCTTAGGCATTGAAGTATGTAAAAGGGATTGCTCACATGTTTTCACGAAATTCATTGAATATTGAAACAAATGTAAATAAACAACGTTTGATGTGACAGTTCATACCAACAATCGTATTTGTCAAGCTCAGTTACAGAAAATACAGGGATGGGTATGCTTATTTGTAATGAATTGCCTTCTAAAATTACAGCATTCTCTGTAATTTACATTGCCTTCACTGTATAGGAAACAGGTTCCCATCACTGATTGACGGTGAATCTAGAAAATCAAACCCATGGCCTATTAATCATGGCCCATGGCCTAACTATTAGGCCATCCGATAGTATTGGAGAAAAATGGAAACCATCTGATAGCATGACTTTACTTTCTTAATTCTACCATGCCAAACAATCAAAAATAGAAAACAGGACAGATTAACAGTGAATCTAGAAAAGCAAACCCAGCTGTGCTTTTCAACTTTAACCCGCCAATGGTGACGCTAATTTGACTTTGATTAATGGTGACGCCGGTCTCATGCACCGGGGTTTTCAACTGAAGTTTTTTCGAAACGTATGACTAATAGTTAATATTTTTTTTATTATTTATCCACTTTGACAATAAAATAAAGATCACAGACATTTTTAAATAGAGCATTAAAAATAACAATGTTTTAGCAATTCATTTTTTAAAATTAAGAAAAAATAAAAAAATCACATATTAATTCAAGAAAATAATGTTAATTAGTCTTTCGACAATAGGAACTTTTATAAAATGAACAAAATTGGTATCCTTCCAAAAAAAAAATCAAATATTGTTTCTTGTAGAAGATCTTCAAGTTGACGCTGGAAGCTTTCATAAGACATGCTGTAAAAAAAATTATATTATAAAACACATACATACATACACATGTAAACACACAAGTACACATATATTTACAATAAAACAACAACAAATTATAATAAACTTAATAAAAACGCGAATAGTAAAAAAATAATTCTTGATTATTTTACTTACACAAACGGTGACTCACGGTCTCACACACCAGGGTAGAACAAAAATACACGAACTTGTGTTAACTAAGCAGTTTCGTCATGAACTGACGGTTATAGTATACTATTAATCTTTCCTAATAAAGTATTCCCGCTTCGCAGCTTTATTGATTATGGAGATAAAGTAGTCGTGATTTCAGTAGACAGATAAGTGGAAATCATTAAATCAACTATGATCATGATTGTATATACTTTATGGGGTCTACAAACCGAATGACAAATTTAATATATCCTCCTTTCCATGGAGGAGATT